AAGTGTGTAGATCCATATATTGAGTCTAAGATTTAAAAGACTCTCTTGTTGCAGATCAAGGAATATAAAATAATACATGTTCTCCTGTAGCTTAAAATATAACCTCTAAGCTGCCCAGTTAACTGTGTGTAGCATTAGCTTAGCGTGTGGAATCATTACTTGAGGTGGTGTAGGTGATGTATGACTTATCGACCTCTGTTGGTGACCATAGTAGACAGCAGCATGCAGCCCTTTTCCCTCTGAAACAGCTCTCTCATACATATATAAACCCTCTTTTCCCCTTAAACTGCAGTATGATGGGCTGTAACTGACTATAGCATCGAAGAGAAATCTCCACAATAGTACAATGTGTATTATGGTTCAATGAAAACAGTCTAGTCCTGCGGAGCTTTGCAGATATCATTAGGTTTATCGCTTGACCTCGGACATTACACATTTTTAACAGAAAACCTATGTTGCAAATTGGTGGCAAGGGGGTTTGAAAGACTTTTTACCAAGAGGAGGCATTGGGAGGTATGAAGATTTATGTCACGATTATCTTGGCCAAAATAATTGCAATACACAATATTATAATGATAATCATGAAAATATACCTCATACTTAAATAAACAAAATGGCACTAAAACATACTGGAATCACCTTACCTTACCCAACACATTTATTGCATCACAGATAGACACTCCTCTCACTGTTCTTTATTTTGGAATCTTTACTATTTACATACAACTTGTTTAATTTTTTTGTGGGGGATAAAAACAGATAAATCAGGAAATGAATATAGAACTGTATGCTGGGGAGCTAGACAGCTTTTTCAAGTCAAGCCATGTGAGGATATTCACAATTATTCCGATTCACAATTATCACGGTAATGGGAATTTTTGGGAGTTTTTTATCACAATACGCAATAATATTGTTTTTCGTCCCATCCCTAACCAGGAGAGTCGAATAAAAGACACAATCTAGTGGCATTATGGCAAGTATATACAGTAGGAAAAATAATCCGAAACTTTGACAGTTCCTCGACCGGCCATTTGAGGCAGGCTACAGCTGTGAGTCAATCTCCAACTTTACATCAGAAATAAATTTGTTTACAATCTGCTATAAAAAAGCTCAAAGTCCCCATTTACCCGTTTAAATTAAATTAAGGCTTAAAGTAATTAAGGACACACTTTGAGTGACAGGACTGTTTTCAATAACCAGCTTCATTCAGCCCGCCTCAGCTCCACCCATATTCCACGTATTTGCCAATTTTTGGATTAGCTGGGTAGCCAGTGCAATCAGGACTGCCAAGACGGTGACAGCCAGACAGCTCTTCAGAAACCTACTGGTTTGGGCACAGAGACTACATCTATTTGGAATTATACAGTCTATGGTTTCAACTGGGCAGCATTGCAAGTATTTGACCCACTGACATTAAAGCTAGGTTTATTAGGACGTAGTGTCCCCGGTGCAAGGGTGACAATGACATCATCACGTCTCTTGCAAGTTCGAAGGCCCTGCAGGTCATTGCAGTGCGTGTTTGTGCCTCCAAATTCTTGAGACCACTGTAGAGGGATTGAAGACCAACAATAAAGTCTATAAATAGATACAAGTTTCCAATTAAATACAAGAGCAAAGTGTGCAGCCATACCTTTGCTGGACTGAATTTGACCTTCTCTTTTAAATCTATCCCTCTCAAGTCCCCAAACTGGAACTCCTACTCCTTTAAAACTACTTTCTCATTGGGCGCCCGGTTACTGTACTGAGGCCAAGTCCTCGCTGCAGCGGCCCAGGGTTGTGAGACAAGATGGGAAAACATCTACTTTCTATTAAATACAGATAAATCTATTGGGATAATTGTTTTTCTCTTTCCAAGCAATGGCTTCACTTCACTGCTATCTTTGAAAAAGTACCATGGTTAGTTTTATACTCTGCTGTCAATCAGTTTGATAGAATAAGGGTCACTTTTTGGATGCTTCATTGGATATCTCCTTTAAAAACTAAAAGTGAAGACAGTCTTTGTATATTTACAAAAGGTACAAGTTGTTCTGCAGATCCGAGGCCGGCCCGGACCCTTTCAAGCTTTTTTACTTCCTTTCTTTTTTCCCCTGCAGTTGTAAAAAAGTGGAGGACATGATTTATCACCTTTGATAAATTACACATTTCCTTACGCAACGCGGTAGACTTTGTTTGCTTTAAAACTTCTACACTCTGTGAAAATAAATGCGTTCAGCTCAGATTATTCCAGCTCCTTGTCACTTAGGGTGCTATTTATAAGAATCCTCAGACCCATCTCACTTGACCTTCTACAAAAGAAATAATGGAGACAGAACTGCAAAATACTGCGGCAAGAAGGCAATGGAAAGCAACAAAGAAGCAGGGCAATTTTAACTTTACAAAAGCAAACAATTATTAATGACATCGAAGCACTGAGCTTCAAAGTGTTTTATTTATAGGCTTCACAAATTACAGACAGCAGACGGGGGAATAATGAAAGTGTCTTCTCCCCACTTGAAGTTTTTTGAAAATAGAAAGGATGACTAGAGGGCCCGAAGAGACGCAGGAAAATCACTGGGATATTAAAGAAAGGGTCGATGAAGGAGCTTTACTGTCTAAGGCTGTTTGTAACGTGTTGCTGCTCAGTGCACAACTTCCATGCAGCGTATTGGAAGAGAGCAGAAGTGATAGAGACGGGTCTGTGTAAAAGATTTCAAGAAAGCTTCCGTGGTGCCCAGATGGAGCCATCTTGTGGAGGAGATGGTGGCAATATCGTGCAGCTTCTCAAGGGAAAGAGTCAACTTTAAATGAGGCAGATGGATGGAGCTTGGAGGGGCTGGTTGGGGAAATGCTGCATTATTCTTTTTCTCAACATGCTGGAGGCTGCAGAATAAAACACTTCATCCATATCTGGATCTTAAGTATGTGTGGAACTGCTGCTGCAGGAGAAAAGGAGGGCTCCTCTTTCAAAATGAAATATGCACTGTTTGAACAAAGTGACACCTACTGTAAAAAACTGATGATGGCGCTTTACTATGGGATACTCTTCTTATGTTTACACACATACTGTGGAGTTACCGTGGTGATCTGTTTCTAGACAAACTCTGATCTCCTGGTATCCATGTGAAACAATGAAATACAGCTTGAAACTTAATCAACAGCAATGCTGACCGTCAATTAATTGTCATTTTTAAGCAGAAACTGGCCTCTAAAAACATCATATTGCGATAGTAAATCTCTGAAGAACTACAGGACTTCATTATAATGCTGTTTCGTCACAGTTTACCTTTTATAAAAAAAATCAGCTTCTTTTTAAAAACTGATACAATATCAGAAAACTAATTATTGTGATACGATATATTTTCTTATTTTCTCACAACCCCAGCATTTACATCCCACTGGGTGGGAAACAAACCCAAACATATAGGGGCTGTGCATGCCAAAAGCTGAAAAGAGCAACATTTGTTACACGTCTAATAAAACAAAAAAGCCACCAAAGAGAGAGAGACATCAAAGCAAAGAGTGTGACAACCATGTTCCATATTCTCTGTTTTGTTTGCTTTTCTGCACAAGAGGGAGATAAGCAGTGAAGTCCTGAACGGCAAATAAATCACTACAAAGAAAGTTGAAAGCAACTATGGAAAAAATAGATAGATAGATAGATAGATAGATAGATAGATAGATAGATAGATAGATAGATAGATACTTCATTGTCCTTGACAGGAAATTTGTCACTGCCGTCTGTACGTAGCTTTAAGACATACATACATAGATACAAGATAAATAGGGACACCACGACATAACAACAAGAATAAACACTTAATGCAGCACAGAAAAATAAAGAACTGATTTGATGATTCTTACCAATTAATATGTTTAAGAGCTGGAACCATTAGCTGATTACTCAATGACTAGTCAACAGAACCCTCATGGTTGTTTCAATATATGATAGAAGACTGAACATGTTTTGGTATTTGACTGTTGGTAAGAAAAAACAAGCTGTTTGGGAAAAAAAGCATCCTGGGAGATTATATTGACCAAAGTAGTTGATCAATTTGGCAAGAACATAAAAGGCAGATTATGGGATAATGAAAATATTTCATAAATCATCAGTTGTAGCCCTAATATGTTTGCCAATATTTGTCCAGGGCAACTTCTGTATCAGGAGTCTGTTCTCTGGTGTGTTACAGACACATGTGCGGATACATAAAGAGCCGGTAAACTCAGCATCAACCACAAATGAATAAAGTTACTATTTTAAAAACTCCTCAGCTTAACAGTATCACTTCAACCTCTGTCAGTTCATGTGAGAATGATTCACATGAGCTCCACCAGCAAACACTGTAACTCTTCCACAGAGGCGAGGAAGGTGTGTATATCTCCCTCCGCTACACCTCGGCTCCTAATCCACCTTAAATGTCACCTTGAGAGAATGGAGCAGCGGTTCTCCTGCATGCAGAGCAGCCCGGGGTGGCATGTGGATTCTGACAGTGACACTCAGCTCTACTGTTTGTCCACAGTACATAAAAACAGCCACAGACTGCAGAATAAACCTTATTTGGAAACTCAGAAACAGATTCTCAAGGCGTCTCTCCAACTGCACAGATCACCCTACAGCCCTGGACTTCATGTCTCAGCCATATCGGAGGGGACTCCCCTTAAGGGACCCCCTGGGGTGTCCCGGGTCGGACCCCCTTCACAGACCCGCCGCTCCTGTTTATGAAACGCGAGGTCAACCTCCACCGGGCTGCTCCGCTTACTTTTAAACCCCCCATGCGCACCGCAGCGCGCACCGCAGCCACCGCTCCGTCCGGCAGCACGCAACAAGAATCTCGGTGAGGCTGGAAAATCAGCATGCAACACGACAACCATGCCTTTTCCCCCGCAGTAAAGCATCTCCATAAAGTCACACTCACTCCTCTGCACGCATGCACGCCTGTTATCATGAACAGTAAAGGAGAGGAGAAGAGGGGGGGTGGGTGGGGGGAGACGGGACTGGCAAGTGGAATGTAAAATAAATGTACCTGTAACTCCACACTGTAGCCCTGATAGAAGTGTGTCGGGAACACCGCCAGCTGATGTTGCACTTGGAGGGAAACTGTGTAATCCATTAACCAGAGGATGCTGAATAGCGACAGACTGAGCGGGAGACGCGTCTACTGTTGGCGGCAGTACTACACTGTAGTACAATCTGCCGCTGCTCTCCGCCCTGCTGCGCTCCCATTGGCCGCACGGCGCTCATCAGCCGCGTCAATTCACTTGAGGCAGGGCAGGAAGTGGCAGCTCACATCAGCAAATAATCATCTGGTCTGCACCCAAACCATTCACAGAGTGGAGCCGGGACTGCTGGAGAAAAGATCATCAGCACAGAGGGGTTCCCATGACAGTAGCAACACTAGTATCCCCCTGTGATAAAGCCACTGTATAATAAAGGTGTCTTTCAGTGCGCAGATGACATCTGCAGCTACTTGCACTGCATAAATGAGCATTTGGTTGATATTATAGATATTTCTGCTCCAGGGGCGGATCTAGAGAAATATTCATGGTGTGGCCAGGGGGTGGCAGAAAATATGCTGATTTAATCACAAATGATCACATATCAATATTTGCTTAGAAAAGCCCCCAAATGAAGATATTTGAGGTAAAAAACATGAGTGCCGCACATTAGTAAAGCATTGAATAGAAATATCTAAAGGTGGCATTAGAAATCAATTCATTGTTTTATTTCCAAATCTTCAGACATGACAAGTGTGTCTGTTTTAAAACCCTATCACTATCACTTAAAATGTGGCCATAACAGATCATTAAATTAGTTTCTGTTTTTCAACACATTATTTTAAATCTAAATTAACGTGTTAAATTTGACAGTATTTGACACCAAACTGGGGTGGCAGCTGCCCATGCAACCCGTCTAGATCCGCCCCTGTTCTGCTCTAAAAGGAAAAACAAAACATGGAGGAAAAGACCACTACAAAGTGCACTCGCCACACCTAATGTAACCCGTATCTAGGGTTGCAGTGATTTTAACTGTTATAGAGAAGAAAAGTTAATCCCCATCTGGAAGGCAGACCTAACAAAATAAAATGACATCAGGTGTGGAAATAACCTTCAGTGTTTTCAGTTCAAAGCAGGTGCACATTAGAGCATTGGTTCTCTGCCCGGCACCTGACACAACCCGTCGGGTTCTGGCCCAAAACTGCTGCTGTAGGTTAGACTTGGGTTGGGCTTGGACAGAATATGATTTTTAAAAATACATATATTTAATATTTATTAATAATGCATGCAACTGTAATTAATGAGTGGATTTTTGATGTATTAGTTTTGATAATAATTTGCATGAAACATGCACAATGTAGTTTATTTTGGCTTGTAATACACTTTTAATAATTTATTTATTATTCTAAGCAGAAATTCGGGTTTGGGTCGGGGTCGAGCCCAAAACTGTGTCTGTGGTTCGGGCTCGTACAGAATCTTTTCAGGCAAGGGTCAGGTTATATAAAGCTCTAGTACACGTAAGCCACAGCTAGTACAAAAGACAAGAGCAGTCAAGACAAAAATATATTCATTATTTTACAATTCATGGTGGGAAGCAAACTTAGCTGGAGGAGCCTGGTCCTCCTGTCCCAATTCCTGTCAATCTGATGTTTAGATGGAGGGATGACCAAAGTAACATTGTTTGTGGGTAAATGTAAGGTTATTGCTGCAACAATCTTCATCAGTGGGGAAAGTAGTTCAGTTGCTGTGTATATGGTGGGAATAACACATTAATTATGGAGTCATTAGGCACCATGTTCCTCATAGGACCGTATTAGACTGCCGATATATGTGGTGAACAGGTAGCGCAGCAGCTGTCACGCTACATAAACAGCATGAGTCAAAAGAGCATGAAGCAGATACTGATAAGATAAGCTCCTCGAGATGGCACCAGCGCCTCCTCCTTCGAGGTCTGCTTCAGAATGTGGGTTGAAGTTTAAAGGCGGTGCGTAGCCGCAGGGCAACATTTACGTGCAAACAGGGTCGGCGATGCAATCTGCAAAATATCTCTGCTGCTGATTATTTCATCTAGGTCAGAATATCAGGTCAGAAATCAGCACAGAATCGGCATTCGGTGGAGGGGGAGAAGAAGGAAAAACAACCTAAAGAGCGGGGAAATGGCTTTCATCTGCCCTTGAACACGGAGCCCATGGTCCAGATGGTTGGACTGTCACACGACAAGCTATGTTTGCAACAGGAAACATGTCACCTCCTTGGGGGCGTTTGTGCGCCACATTTACATTTTCTGCATGTATCCAGTACAGTTAGAGAGAGAGCAGGTAGGCATGCAGCGGGGTACCTGACCGCTAATTGACACACCGGCTGCTGTGGGACTCAAACCTGTGACCTCCCAGTTACGAACAGAGTAGGCCTCGCCACCAGGCCTCCCTGCTCCCTCTGGAGAAGCGCTCTTTGATCGCAGCTGCGTGTTGGCCACCAAACGGAGCTGTGAGAGGAGAAAATGTGTCAGGGCCAGATGATCTATTTTGGTTCATTTGTAGATTTCTTTGCATCTCATTACTCAGTACTCAGTAGTGGAATATATTCATGATATGAATTATGGAGGAGTGGTTGTAGCTGAGAACTGAATATTAATTCTTCCCCTCTTTAACGTTGTTCCCAAAATCGGATCCCCACCTCCTTCATCGGCTTAGCACATTAGCTTCTCATTTGCATGAAGTTGTATTTAAAGTACACTTTCAACACAAACTGCCGCACTTAGCAACAAAGGACATGATGCAAAGATGAAACAAGAGTGCAAAAAGCACTTACTACCAGCTGTCATATGAACCATGACCAACTGAATATAGGCCATTCCTAAAGGTTGTAGGTTTATGGGTGAAATCCCTGCCTCTGGTAATAGAATACAGTTTCACTAGGCTCCCTGCGGAAAGAAGCAAGGATCATTTCTCCATAGACAGTGGATCCTTACCAAAAGTTCAAACAAGTGCGCTTGAATGAGGTTATTTTATTCTAAACACAGCAGGCAGCTGCAATTAAGCTTTACAAACCTGGCCCAGTTTGTTGTGGGGAGCCTCCGTGTCAGCCTGTCTGTGGCTGGCATGCTGTTTTGGCTCCTGTCTTTCAATCTCTCTCTTTTTTTTCCCAGTTTGAGCTGCCACACAAAGAGAGCGAATGCCACCATCAGTCAATCTCTGCCTCGTAGCCCGTAGCAACCAACCGACACCACAGGCTTCAAACTGACTGTGACCCTGAAAGCAGGAACAAAAGCCAGCCAGCCCTGCTCATCATATTTTATCTGTAAAAGAGGCAATTGCTTTCAGACATTCATTGTAAGGTGATAATGGCAACAACTGAATCTGATATTTCTTTCTTGTATTGAGATGCAAAAATAATAATAATGAAGTGGAGCGAGATATTGGAGCTACATGTGTGATCTGTTTGTAATGAGATGGCATAGAGAGGTAATGAGAATTCAGTGTGTTGTTGCTGAGTGTCACGAAAATCAAGGACAAAATACAACTGTAAAAATAACTATAAAAAAAATTCTTTAGTATTTCAGCTCACTGAGATCATCTTCAGGTCATCTCTATTCCCAAGAATTTCTGTGGTAAAGGTACAGTTACATCTCCCTGCACCGGCAGTTCAGATGTGCAAAGTTGATGCACTTTTAACGTAATATTCTGAAACATCTTCATATGCATGGCTCAATAAAGAGTTTCCTAATGAGTTTATGGTCTCAATCTCTAGTTTCAGTCTTCTTCCATTCAGCATGATGTTCATTTAGTAAATGATGGTCCCATTTAGAGTAAAATAGATGATAAAGTCATTCTCAGTGAGCCCGTCAAGTGCACCGCAGATCAAACTGTCAAACTAGGCAGTGCTGATCAAATACGAAGCAATATTCTGTTACTGCGTTACCTATTTCTCACCTAAAATCATTTTAGAAACATATTTTAGTAGCAATTTAATGTTTAACACGAATAATGTTTTCTTAGTTTACCGTATAAGCATGCTAATGTAAGTTAGCTAGCGCTCAGAACCGGTGTTCTGCAGGGCAGGATACTTGAAACAAACTTGTGGCTTTAGACACAGAGTGCAGAAAGACAAAATCGCTTCATCTGCAAAGTGTTCATTTGATTATCCTACATCTGACCTGCATCACTGTGAAGTAATGAATGGACAAACTAATATGCTGAACATTTGCTATAATGAATGTGCTAAAACCGACATGTTTATATCTTCCATTACTGTTATGTGTGTGTGTGTGTGTGTGTGTGTGTGTGTGTGACTCAGCTTCAGAAGACGACTGCAACCTGCTGTATCCATGTAGCTGCCAAAATCCCCACTGGCATCAACAGCCCCGAATGATCTCCTTTGAATTAAACATCTTCATAATTCTATACACAAAATTTGGATCGCCTCAACCTGTTTTGCCCAGTAGGTGTAAGCACAGAGACAGCTGCTGTGGACGGACAGACCTCTAACACAGAGCAATGACCCTTCCCTTATTAAAAAAGTCTCTATTAAACAGGTCGTTAAACCTGAAATCCTTGTGTTATGATCAATTATGTACAGCTCCATTATACAGTAAGAATTATGCACTGTGGACATTCACCGCAGGTTGGATACCCTGTTGAGCAGAATCTTTCCCAGAAGACACTACACTGATTTTTTATATCATAGATTTTAGATCAGAGAGGAACAGTGTTATATGTGAATTGAGTCTGACTCTGTGCTATTATTGGGTTTTTAATAAAAAGCCAAACTCAACCTGGTGCACTGGTGATACCTTAAGACACACACATATGCATCTGCCAGAATGCGCGGAGAGGCCAGACTGAAGAGACAATGGGCTCTGGGGGCTGGCATGACAGCGGTAGAGATGACAGATCCTGACAGGTGAAATATGAGTTCCACTGATGCAGGAAGCAGGGGGATAAGCCAGCAGGGTTCACACACACATGCACACACACACAGTGATGTATACATCACTGCAGAGACTTATGTGGTGAGGCTTCTGACGTGTGCAGAGAAGAGATGTTTAGTCATTCATCCACATTCTGTCTAAAAACCGAGGGAGGAAAAATGGTGCTGCAAATGTTTGATTCAGTGGACGTCTGCCAGTTGGATGCTTTTATATTTAGCAAATGTGGTTTAAGCCCCATGCAGACTAGATTTATGTCTTTTAACATTACCTGCACTGGTCAGAGATTTGAATTCC